GGATGAACACAGCAGGCCAAGCAGCATCATAGGAGCTGCTTGGCCTGCTGTGTTCATCCAGCCCTGCACCTTGTTGTCTTGGATTCTCCAGCATCTGCAGTTCCTACTATCTCTAAATGTGAAGTCATACACTTTGCTGTTAAACGAAAACAGAAAGGAAGAGTGTTACTTAAATAGTGATATATTGGGAACTGTGGATGTTACAAAGGGATCTGGCTGTCCTTGTACACCAGTCAACGCAAGTAAACAGGCAGATGTAGCAAGCAATTAGGAAGGCAAATGGTATTCTGACCTTCATTGCAAGAGGATTTGTTCAGAAGTAGGGATTTCTAACTGCCTCTATATAAAGTTACCATTGTTCTTGAGGACTTATATGGATGTTCTCTCATTACAGAGAGACAACTAGTGGTGACTTTAACCTGAGGGTCACCAAGAGAGGTACAAGGCTGAAAGAACGGGACCTTCATAATAACCTCAACTGGTGCAGGCACTGAACTCATGTTGTTGGCATCACTCTGTATTGCAAATCAGCAATCCAGCCAACCAACTGCAGCTATATAGTGCTGCATATAGATTTGGTCTCCCTACCTAAGGATGGATATACTTGCCAAAGAAAGAATACACAGTATGTTTACTTAGCTGAAACTGAGGATGACAGAACTGTCCTGTCAGGAGATATTAGGCCTGTATTCACTAGAGTTTAGAAGGATGGGGGGACCCAATTGAAATGCATAAAATTCTAACAGGGCTGGACAGACTAGATACTGGAAGAATATTTTCCCTGGTTAGGGAGGCTGTAACCAGGGAACACAATATCAGGATTCAGGACAGAACATTTAGGACTGAGATGAGGAAAAATTTCTTGATTCAAAGTGTAATGAACCTATGGAATTCTCCATCACAGAAGGCTGTACAGGCCAAGTCACTGAATATATTCACAAAAGAGATGGGTAAATTTTTAGATTTTAAAGGCATCAAGGGGTAGGTGGAGAAAGTAGAAAATGACATTGGGATAAAGGATTAGTTATGATCATATTGAATAGCAACCCAGGCTTGAAGGGCCAAATGACCTATTTCTGCTCCTAGTTTCTACGTTTCTAATTCAAACGCAATTACTCTAAAGTTCTCTTGCAGTCCCTCATGCTCCATCAATTCATCCAAAGCTCTGCAGCCAGCATAATAACCAGTCCAGGATTGATTGCCTCATCACCCCTGTAGTAAGCCAAAATTATAATTCCCAATATTGTGTATAAGAACATAAGAAATAGCAGCAGTAACACATCATTCAGCTATTTGAATCTAGTCCGCCATTCAACAAAATCATGGCTGATCTGCTATTTCAACACCATCTTTCTGTACTATTCCATCTCCTTTGCTGTTTTTAATCTGTAGAAATCTAGTGATCTCAGATTTGATTATACTCAGTGACTAAGCCTCAATGGCTCTTTGGAACAAATAATTCAGGATTCCGAACCCTTTGAGTGAAAAATAATCCTTGTCATCTTAGTTCTAAATGGCCTGCCCCATAACTGGGAGAGGATGGTGTTGACAGCACACCTCACCACAGCCAGGGAAACATCCTTTCTGAATCTACCTTGTTGAACCCTTTAAGGGTTTTGTATGTTTGAATGACATAGCATCTCATTCTTCTAAGCTCCAGAGAATACAGTCCCAGTTTGTTTAATCTTTTGTCACAGGACAATCACTCCAGCCCAGGAATCAGTTTGGTGAATGTTTGTTACACTCCTTCAATGACAAGTATATCTTTTCTTAACTGAGGAGACCAAAACTATACACACAACACGCCAGCACACCAAGGCTCTCTACAATCGCAGTAAGACATCTTTACTTCTATATCCAAATCCTCTTGTTTAAAAGGTCAACGCACATTTGCTTTTTTAATTGCTTGCTAAACCGCAAACTAACTTAGTGTCTCATGAACATGGACACCCAAGTCCCTTTAAAGTTCAATACTTCCCCGCCTCTCACCATTTAAGAAATACTCTGTCATGATGTTTTTCTTACCAAAGTGGATAAGTTCACATTTCTCCACATTGTATTCCATCTGGAAAAATGTCACTCACTGCTTCAGATCCTCTTCAAATATTGCACCCTCCTCACAACTTACACTTCTACCTAGTTTTATGTCATCTGCAAACTTGGAAATACTACATTTAATCCCCACATCCAACTCATTCAACAGCTGGGGCCCAAGCTCTGATATTGCAGTACCCCACAAATCACAGCAAGCCAACCTGAAAATTTTCCATTTATTCCCACTGTCTGCTGTGCATTAAACAGTTCTCAATCCAAAGCAGAACATTCCACCTCATCAAAATAGAAAATGCTGCAGAAACTCGGCTGATTTTCAGCATCTGTAGTATTTTGCTTTTATTGTCTGAACCACTTGTGTTCCAATTTTGTCTGCTAACCGCTTCAAACCTGTGCTAACATCATCGAAAGCTTTCAAAAAAAATCTAAGTGGACCACCTTTTCCAGTTTCCCGTTATCTATTCTGTTCACTTAATCCTCAAAAAACATAGCAGGATTGTTAAACATGATAAAAAACATAATACATATTTATAACACATATGTTGACTCATGTTATTTTGCAAGTGTGCATTTTCCTTACAACTATTAGGTCTGTAAGTGTATGTTTACTTTCTCTCTCCTTTCTTAAATAATGAGGTTATGTTTGCCACCATTCTATTTTCAAGAACCATTCCATACTCAATAAACTTTTGAAAGATAATGACCAACTTAACGACTAGTTGTACAGTCACAGCTTCCAACATTCTGCAATCAGGTCCAGGGTATTTATCTACTTTAAGTCCCATTATTTACACAAGGATATTCAGTAATATTAATATGTTGCAGTTTATTGTTTACACTAGGGCCAAGATGCACTGGTGTTCCTGAAAGGAACTTGGGACTTTCTTTTTTGAAGACAGTACTTCAGACAGTCTGAATAGCGAAGGAGTGGGAATGGGGTAGATGTGACGAGAGCCGAGTATCCTCGTACACAAGTCACTGAAAGTAAGCATGCATCAGGCAGTGAAGGCACAAATGGTACGTTGGCATTCACAGCAAGATGATTTGAGTCAGAATCTCAAAAAGCCATAAAATTCTAACAGGACTAAACTCAAAAAGGATGTTCCCAATGACTGAGGAGTACAGAATCAGGGATTGTAGGCCATTTAGGACAGCGGAGAAATTACTTCACCCAGAGAGCGGTGAGCCTGCGGAAGTCTCTGCAAAAGAACGTGGTTGAGGCCAAAACACTGAATATTTTCAAGGTATCAGATATAGTCCTTAGGGCTAAAGGGATCAAAAGGTTTGGGGAGAAAGTAGAAACAGGTTACTGAGTTGGATGATCAGCCACGATCATACTGAATGGCAGAGCAGGCTCGAAGGACTGAATAACGTA